AAGATCCCAAGATCCATATTTGATAAATTTGCACATGCATCAAAAATATGCTGTCTAGAAAAATTTAGTGAAGAGTCAATGGGTCTTTCATTTAAAGGTAGTCCTTGATTAATGACTGTAATTGAGCTTGGAATAAGTCATGACAGGTATTAAGTGGTTTACCAAGTGACTCTGCCTGATTTTCAACCATTTTAGCAGCAGTCATTAAGCAAATGTAGCAGTTGTTAAATGAGCCAACTATAACCAATTAGGGTTATTGCCAAAAAATAGAAGACCAGAAACTGGCAAAAAATGCTGAAAATCAATCATGTGACCATGGGATCCTACAAATGGCTGCAAATGCAGTCCAGTTGTTAATCACCCAAAATGTGGACACAGCACTGCAGTGTGTTTGTGTTTAACTTTGAAACCCGGTCATAAGTAGCTCTGGGGAAGTCTGTCATAACTTCAATCACTAAGTGACCAACCATAAGTCAAGAACTATCTGTGTTTAAAATCTGACTATTATCCTGTAACTGCAATATTCAAAACTTCAAAATTTGTTTTGGGGAAAAAAATACTCAGAGGTCTGATTTGTTCTCCTCCTGGTTATATCCATTCTGAATGTTCCAGACCCACACTGATTTTCATTTCAATATATAAACTTATGGTTTTTCTTTCCTCAAATACTTAGAAAAGTACCTAAAATTTAGATTTTACTCGACCACTGGATGCATTACATTTTAATATATATCATGCACCCAAAAGATAAGCTACCAGAACAAAGGTTACATCACTTTAAATGTATGTATTATGAAAAAAATTGCTAGATTAGTATTCATACAAAAGCTACTTCTTGGTTTCAAGTTCAGAGTTGATGAAAAAAATTACTTTCACCTTTTTTCTAAATCAAAGATGCCACAGAAAACACAAATGTTCTTGACTTACGCAGTACATACCGTATATACTCGAGTATAAGTCGACCCGAATATAAGCCAAGGCACCTAATTTTGCCACAAAAAACTGGGAAAACTTATTAACTCGAGTATAAGCCGAGTTTTTCAGCACATTTTTTGTGCTGAAAAAAACCCCCTCGGCTTATACTCGTGAGATTCCCTCTGAAAAAAAAAATGGTGTGGAGCTCCGGAGCTGGGCAGCTGCTTCCCTGCTTCCGTTTTTCCTTTGCAACTTGTAAGCATGGGGGTAATCGGAAGCAGAAAAGTTCTTGCATAAGGATATATTGTTTTTTCTTTATTTAACTGTTTTTTTGGGGGGGGAAGACCCACCGTCATGTAAGAATGCTCATACACGAAATCTATCCGCCTGAAAATAAGTGTGTGTGTGTGTGGGGGGGGATTTTAACAGAGGGAAGACATAAGAAGGCAAAAGCGACGGAAGATCCTTCAGGGGAAACTGAGGGGGAGACTCACCCTTGGTCCAGATGAGCCCCCTTCCCCGCCCCTAAGGAAGCAGAGGCAGCCAGCAAGGGCAGGCAAGCCCCACTTTGCAGACTCCATCCGTCCTCACTCCCACCCACCCACCCAAAGCCACAAAGTCCCCCAATTGCACAGGCCAGAATCGCCCTCCCCTCAGGGGGCAGCAATGCCCGGTGTTTCCTGAGACAAGAAGCTCCACCGTGCAATGAAAGCGCCCTGGCTCTAGGCTCAGAAAACAACGCGAGCCAAGGTGGCTTCGTTTCCTCAGCCCCAGCTGCTTTCAGTCCGCTCGGGAGGAGGTGGTGGTGGCGGCGGCTCGCATTGTTTTCTGAGCCCATAGAGCTCAGAAAACAACGTGAGCTGCTGCCACCACCTCCTCCCCCTCCTCCCGAGCGGACTGAAAGCAGCTGGGGCTGAGGAAACGAAGCCACCTCGGCTCGCGTTGTTTTCTGAGCCTAGAGCCAGGGCGCTTTCATTGCATGGCAGAGCTTCTTGTCTCAGGAAACACCGGGCGTCATTGCTGCCCCCTGAGTGGAGGGTGATTCTGGCCTGCGCAATTGGGGGACTTCGTGGCTTTGGGTGGGTGGGTGGGTGGGAGTGAGGACGGATGGAGTCTGAGAAGCGGGGCTTGCCTGCCCTTGCTGGCTGCCTCTGCTTCCTTAGGGGCGGGGAAGGGGGCTCATCTGGACCTAGGGTGAGTCTCCCCCTCAGTTTCCCCTGAAGGATCTTCCGTCGCTTTTGCCTTCTCCCTATGTCTTCCCTCTGTTAAAACACACACCCCCACACACACTTATTTTCAGGCGGATAGATTTCGTGTATGAGCATTCTCACATGACGGTGGGTCTTTCCCCCCTCCCTAAAAACAGTTAAAAAAAGAAAAAAACATATATCCTCATGCAAGAACTTTCCTGCTTCTGATTACCCCCATGCTTACAAGTTGCAAAGGAAACACGGAAGCAGGGAAACGGCTGCCCAGCTCCGGAGCTCCACACCATTTTTTTTTTTTCAGAGGGACTCTCACTCGAGTATAAGCCGAGGGGGTTTTTTTCAGCACAAAAAATGTGCTGAAAAACTCGGCTTATACTTGAGTATATACGGTATTCCCAATTTAAAAGATAACCAGTGTTATTCTTTAAATGCAAAATGTATTAATATGAAAATATGTGCAGGAAATAATGAGTGCACGAAATACATAGTACAGTAAATGTTTATGGTTGCCTGGAGTTGAGAAATAATAGTATTTTACAAGAATTCTAGTTTGAAGATTTAATTCAATTAATAACTTTTCAGTTTTTTAATTTCTGGCTCCTGAAATGTAAAATATATAAACACCTATATTTGGCAAATATATTAACACATTTAAAATATCTACTTACATTATCCTAAGTAGAAATATTTGTGAACATAGATTATAAACCTAAGCCTAAATCTGACTAATACATACATTTTTCTTAAATGTGATATAGAACATACCCATCTGCATTGATTTATGTGATTCAGTAAGTCAGAAAGCTAAATTTCAAGAACTAAATCTTCCATCAAATACATCTGGGTAAAAGAGAATAAGGCCAGAGGAATTCAGATGTTATTCATGTAAATATATGTTAAAGCACATTAACTTTAAAGGTTTTCTTTAAGTAGATAGGTTAGTCAAATCACAGGGCCACTTCATCAGCCTTTTTCTTCTATGAATTTCAACAAAGCAGTAAAAAGAAAGCATAGGATGTGTGAGCATTCAATTAGCTAATCTTAAAGATCAATATTTTTGACCCCTTTTTACTCCAGTTGATTATCAACATTCCAACATCAAGACTGCATTACATTTAAGCATTCTAAGCATCTTAGAACATAAAGAATTTGAGAAAATTAAGAAATTTTGCCTAAACTTTACTCACATTGAAATCCTCAATCCCATTCTCCTTTTTTTATCATATGGTGAACTTGAGAATTAGAAACAATCTGACAGTAAAAACAACACAGTAGTGTTTTAAAAATATATTTTGAAATTAAAAATTAATTTGTTTACATTACTTCTGTCAATATTTTCAGATATTGTAAAACTATATTGATTATTCAGTATTAGAAATTGTGAACTTACACATATTAAAACTACTCTGTAGAAAGTCAATTCTGAATGGTGGTTTTGGCTAAGTTTCAAAAGAAAGTACTTGTATCTGTGTAAGAATCTCTTGGAAATTTCCCAACTCAGAGCTTAAAAATATATATCAATAGATGGTGGCAGCTCAAAACAGTAAATTGTTAAAACAGTTGATATTACCCCTTTTTCCATTATATGTAACAGATCAAGGATATCCTATCTGTTCATTTAGTACAGAAATCACAAAAACAAATCTTACCACTAATCCAGTTTTTACCAAAAAAAACTTATAGAATTAGCAGAGATAGGAATAGTGGGCATCAACTTTAAAATGCCAATGACACAAAATATTCCACATAAGCAAACATTCCATATCATTTTAGCTTGGTATATTTCAAAAGGAGAATTTTTAAAAACCTAGCGAAAGTAGAATTTCAACTGTGCTTAATAGTACAATTAATATTACAATATTGTATATAGCTAACAATTGTCTATATTTAATTATTTTATATTTCCATCGAATTAAAATATGATTTTTTTAAAATATGATTTTTACCAAGTCTTGCAATATTAGTTGCTAACAACTCTTAAAACATAACTTTCAGTTAAACCAAATCATTAGGATTATCCTTCTCATATTGTTGCAAAATTTTCCAAGAAGTATCTCTGGTCCTATACAACATGGTCCTATATCCCATTAAAATAGTAAGAGGAAAATAAAACGAGGTTGTCATTTCTATGATAGTAATGAAAACTTTGTATGTTTGTAATAATGTAATGCATTCTAACAGTTGAAATAAAATCACTGAATTAAAAAAGTGAAAATGCAACACTTTGGAGTATAACTCCTAGACCAGCCTATGCCAAAATCAAAATTACACCTGAAGTATATATGAAGATAATTTACATTTCTTTTAAAATGCCCAAAATATAGTTAGCAATTAACAAAGCACATGCCAACAAAAACTAGTCAAAACTTACATGATACTTTATAAGAACATAGATATCATTCTTGGTATTTCATTCTAGACATTAACAGATTCACTTAATATGCATAGAGTATATATTGTTACATTTTTATGTTAATTATCCTGAAAAACCACAATCATGTCCAATGGCTGTGAACAAAGATTTATGCACAATTAATCAATTTTAATCACACTTGTTTAGAAACATTGTTTGAAAATATGTATCTTGATATTTTAAAATAAAAACATTTTAATGAACAGACTGCTCATCTAAAATACTGCAAGACAAGTACACACTTTTGAACACAACAATTTCCAAGGCATTTTTAAAGTCCTGAGCCAAACACCATTCCTTTAGCAAAAAAAGAATGTGGATGTGATTCACAGAACGGAATCAAATTATTCAAATCCACCATTTATTCCTATAGACTTTATCAGAAATCCACTGGTTTAAATCCAAGTAATCCAATTTAATTTGTTTGCAGAACATGCTACATGTTACACCCACTGGCTACTTACCAGCCGCAATGCTGAGTTGTAAGGTGGCACTGGAGAACAAGAGCACCAGTAAAAGGTGCTGCAGCAAGTCAGTCATATTTGGAGGAATCCAGCTGTGTATAGTTTAAAAAATGCTGACAGGAGAAAATCTTGTCTTCCAATAGTCTTAATTTCTCAGTTTACAATCCAGTCTGAAAGGGCAAAATGGTAATATAAGATGAGCTGTTTGAGCTTTTACTCCATTAAGCAAATCTGCCTTCATGGTTCAGGGCTTGGCCTCATAATTTTTTCTCAAACCGACACAGGTTTTTTTTCTTAAGATGGTCATTATTGTAATATTGAAATTAATTTCCATGTGTCTTCAGAGTGTCACCACCCCACTCAGGTTTCAAATGAATCATATCCAGATCTGAAAAGGGCGTACACACACAAAAACAATTGATTGTCACCACAAAAGGACAGATGTAGACAGATTTAAAGGCCAAGATTTAAGATATGGAAAACAGGATCCAAATCTTTGTGCTGTATCTTTCTTAGGAAAGGGCTATTTCCTGTCACTTGGAAATAGTAAGTCGTCCTCTTCTTTTCAGGGATTTTTAAGGGCCCATTGCCCTATTAACGTGTCATCAGCCTCGAATTAAATTTAACACACTCGGCGTCCACTTCGCTTTACACGCGCACCCATACGCACGCAAGTACGCGGAAAAGGAAATAACTCCAACCAAGGAAAGGGGCTGACAGTCCTGGCGTTTCTATGAAGCAGCAGCAGCAGCAGCAGCAGCAGCAAATCAGGGCTTCGCAGTTCCTGGCTCCGAGCAGTCCCGGCGCAGAGGCCTTTCCTCTTAGGAAGCCCTTGGAAAAATGCACTTTCTTTCCTTCCTTGGCCCAACCGGGAAGAGGAAAGGGGAGATCCACTTCTTCCACACTCTTCCCTGCCTTGGCAAGAGCCCGGTTCGCCAACAGCCCGAAGCCGAGACGGAACCCGTGACAAAAGCGCTCCCGCGGCGGCCAAACCCTTTCAACCCTCATGCACCTTCACTCACTCACGCCCCTGCCCTGTTTCCTCCACCCCACCGGGGAGTCAGCTGCCCGTCTGCCCGGCTCTTCCTCTGCCTTCCGGCTGAAGGGAGCCTGCCCACGAAGGCTTCGTGCAGGGGGGTTCTCAACGTCGCCTCGCCTCCCCGCCTCCAGCAGCTGGGCTTGGCTGGCTGGCAACGGCTCCCCTTTTCTCAGTCCAGACACAAAGGGGAGTCGCTGCTAAACTGCCCGTCTGAGCGCCTGGCCCGTGGGCGCCGCGAAGCCCCGCCCCGCCCTAGCCTCCTGCTGTTGCTCCGCTCCAGCTCACCCTTCTTCCTTCCTCACTCCTCCCTTCCTGGGATCCCTCCGATCCTCACGCGCCGGTCCGACTCAGCCTCTGGATGCCTCGAGCATAGAGACGGCTCTCCTGCGCGAGCTAGAGCGACCCCCTCAGCCGGCCAAATCTCGGCGTCGCTCGAGGCCTTTTCTGTGGAGTTGCAGGAGAGACGAAGAAGAGGGGCCCGGCAGAAGGTTCTCTATGCCCTTCCTTGCACCGCCCTGTTGCCAAGAATTGCTAGTACGGCGGCTCGAGTCCAGCTCCGTGGGCCGGGGGGGAAACGTAGGCTTCTTTCTAATTCTGGCGACTGCTGCCCAGTATTTTGCTTTATTTGCTGAATCGTTCCACCATCCTGTGGTCTTGGGAATGCTTTACGGCTGGCGAAGCCAAGGTCAGCAAATAAAATAAATGCTCGAATTGGGCGCATTTTTACTCGTCGGGAGTAAAGCCTTAGTTCCTTTAAACGATTTGTTGTAACGAGTTGAGTTCTGGATAAGCTTTTCTCGGTCTGTTTATTTAGGGAAAAAGATAAGTGTGTGTGCATATATATAATCAGAATATTACTGTAGTTCAGAAAGGTGAGCAGAGTTGGGTGAACAAAAACCCCTGGAAGCTTTGCATTTGCTTTTTGCAGTGTTTCTCAGATATGCAGATTTCAACTCCCAGAATTCCTAGTCAGCATGCTGGCTAAGGAATTCTGGGAGTTGAAACCTGCAGATAAAATTGCTGAGACTGAAAAACATTAAAGAAATGGCAAGTGCCTTTAATGATGTATGGAAAAGATCGTGAAGGGGTGGGTGGGAATGCTGCCTAGGAACATTCAGATAAGAGAGGGCACCTAGCCTGCAACTGGATAGTGGGCATAGCAAGAGGCTCAGAAAGGATCCTCCCTACAGTAGTTTCTCAGACGGTAAAAGAGATGGTGGGAAGCTTGTACTTTCAGATTTGTAAAATTCTGTTAATGTTGTTTTACAATAGAGTATAATTAGCTTATCTGCTTGTGTTGCCTGTGTGGTCTACCTGGTAAGACTGATAGCTCCCATGGTTAAGAAAGATAAAAAAACCCAAAACAAAAATGGTAGGGATTTTGTTTTTAACAAGTTATTGTAAAAGAATGATAAGCAGTTGACAGATTTCAGAGTATCTGCCCTGATTTTTCATGGTTGAGGGTCCAAATAGGCTCCACACTACAACCTTCAGCTACTGGTTTCTTCTGCTGAAATGGCCTGGAAAGGAATCCAGCTTGAGAGATTGTTGTATGGGTTTCAAACTATTCCTCAGCTTTTATAAACTATGTAAGTGCAGAACCTGTTTGCTATGGCATCCCCTGTACTTGGTGGCCTTGATTTATATTCAGCACAGTTTGCTTATGATACAAAGCTTTCCACCTTTATGTTATTCTCACTTCTATTTTGTATTTTTTTTAAGATATCTATGGTCATTCAGCTTATAACTAATAATACCAAGACTTCCTATTAGTAAATACTGTATCAAAGGTTTTTTTTTTTTTTCAAAAGGCAACTGGACTATGTTTTTGTCATGGGGAAGAAGTCATTTCACTTCTCATCCAAGAAGCTTCATTAGTTCTGAGTAGATGGTGGGAGGAATTAAAGGATTAATTCTGACAGAATATGTGGGGGGGGGGGAATGGAAGGATTATATTTTTTGCAGTCATCTAGTCATTAGCAGTCTCTCTGGGAGCTATTGAAACTACTTGGGTTTATCTGTGCCCCCAAGATTGCTTCTTTACTGCTTTCCCTGTCCCATAGAACCATAATTTCTTTCCATGGGAAAGTTTGAGGGCCTGGTTTTTATGATTTTGTATAAATCCCTTTCTGTTGACTCTGTTATTTGACATCTTCATCCACTAGTAGACAGTGAGGGGGGAAGCTTTTCATATTCTTTCTGTCACGTGGGCTAGGAGGGCAAATACTAGAACTATTGTCAATATTTCACATGATTTAAAAGAGGAAGAAAGAAAGAAGCTAGTTGAAAGAGGTATTTGTCTACAGTGAAGCTAAATAGGCAGACCCCACTCCTGCTGACAAAAGATGGAAAATTCTACCTTTGATGCAGATCAAGAGAAGACTATCAGAAGATGCCTTTACAATAGGCACAGAGCAGGCAGAGGTGTTCTGCATTCTTGTCCTCAAGAAACATTTACTGGAGTAAGCTATCCTCAAGTAGGAAAGGAAGACAGGATGTGCAGAAGAGCCCATGGAGCATGTGACTGAGTTTTTAGATTCAGATCTGCTGACAAAATTGATAGGCTTTTGAGTGTCCCATTTCATTGTTCAGCCAAGATCCTCTCTATACATCCCTGATATCACCAAGGGTTTTGAAGGAAGAGAGAAACAGAGAGCAAAGGAAAAACACTTCCACTTGGCAACTGAGAAAACTCTTCTGTCTCTGGAGGCATTTTTTTTTCTTCATGTTTGAGAAATGCTGTTTTTAAATTCAGAATCTTTAATTAAATGTATTCAATTTTTTTCAAGTATTCAAATATTCTCCATGCCTGCTGATGGTTAAACTAAATAGTAGGGTTTGGGTGATTAAAATTTTAGAATGGAAATTATTATAGTGGACCTTATTCATTTAATATAGCTTTATGGGATTGATGAGCATTTAGTAAGAAAATTATTTTGTGAAGAACGTATTTCTGAAGTAACAACTCTGTGGAATATTAGGCAATTTAGGGAATAACCTGGATATGATTTTAGAGCAAATACATCAAAATTAGTGGATGAAAAATCAGATGGAAGCTGTGGCATGAAGGCTTTTGCACAACTTTATGTGGTGCATCAATTGTTCCATTTCCTAGATTGGACATTCATGCTAGTCACCTTGTGGCTCGATTACGGCAATGCACTCTAAATGAGGCTGCCTTTGAAGATTAATCAGAAGTTCTTAAATGGGCCAGAAAATCATGGTATGGACAGTAATAGGCATGTCTTGATATTACAGTATACAATCTTCATGCTTCATGAACTGCACTGATTGCCAATTTGCTTCTGGGTGTGATTCAAAATGCTGGTCATTATCTATAAAGTCCCATATGGCATGATAGATTTCTGGGCATAAACATTCACTTAATACATTTCTATAGTTAATGATCTTAGCCCTTTCAGGTAGATTGGGGAGCTGAATGAAAACTAACTTGCTTTAACAATCACAAAAAAATCCACCAACTTGAGTGTCTGCTTATTATGATTTTATGATGATGTGTAACATCTAATACTTAGATGGAAATAGTTCATATCTTTTTATATACAGATGGTGCTGTTACTCTTACGTAATGAAAATCCCCATAAAATGTAATCCTGTATAGCTTTGTATCAGTTATGATCCCTGGGTAGAATGATAGAGATTGATTTATTTTGCTTAATTAACTCCTTAAGTATTGTTTTTCTTTTATACCCAAAGAAGGATATTAGAAGACCAGGCAAGACATTGAGTTCCACCCATATTTATAATTTCCTTTCCAATTTTTTCTTAGTAAACTGTTGACAAATTTCATTAACAGTTATTATTGACAAATTCCTTTCATACGGTTCATTCACCATTCTAAAGTTTTGTATCAAAAGTCTTGGTTAAGATTATTTTTATCAGCAGCAGCAGAAAAATAATCTTTGCTCAATAAATATTAAAATTAGTTTAATGCAACCTCTAAAATTAATTAAATAATGGAAGAAAATGCCATTAAGACTTTCAGCCAACTAAACTTAGATGCTTCTGATTTAGGCAATAAGATCAATGAAATCACAGTCACAAGCATTTTGCTGTATTTAAAATATCTAGACCAATGTTCCCACATACCCTTCTTTGCTTTCTCATCATTCCTCTTAATCCTACAGGAAAACAATGACATACATGTACTGTATCACTTCCATACTGTGTACAGACACTACATAGAGTTGTCACCATCAATCAGCTTAAAGATTTTACCTTTGGAAATCAGAATGCATAGTTGAAGACATGCACAATGTCTACAGCTGTTACTGCATCTCTCTGAGATACACACATGGTCTCCTCTCACAAACACACATCCTCTTTCACTTGGAAGAAAGAGGCTTTC